GCCGCAGGCCTGTGCATTATCAAGCGACGAGAGATTAATCCCAATCTGCCTTCCGCTGTGTCCTCAGCTATTTCGGGAGAACGGCAGCTCTTCCCTCTCTCCAGCTCAGGTGTCAGCGGCTGGGGAGAAGTCATCAGTCAAGGGGACAGAGCCTGGAGGGGTGGCAGCAGGCAGGCCACAGAGCCACTCGGCACCAGGCAGGTGGCCTGTCTCTCCCGCATGTGCCCTGGCGGAGAAGGAATAGGTAACTCTGAAGGCCTGGAGCAGTGGGCCCGTCTGGCCGGGCCAGAATGAGCTAGAACCCACTTTGCTTTGGTGAAGGGAGGGGTGAGCTGAAGGAAGACCTATAACAGGACAGAAGGAAGGAACTTGACTTCCCACCAGCATGTGTGTCGCCTGAGTCCCCTCCCTGGGAGAGGGGGAGAGCCGTACTAACTCCTTCCCACTCTCTTAGGACCCTGGAGCTCCCCAGCACGTGGCTTCAGAGGACAGCTGGCAGAGTAGGGTGATTTGTGGCTGCCCACAGAGGCTGACAAGACAGGTGTCCCGCCCATCCTCGAACTCTGTTTGCCTGCACTCCTTGGGTTGGGCCTTTGAGAATAAACAGCAGCAGCCATCTCTGGCTAATGTGAGCAAGGAAGGGACTTACTAGAGGGACGTCAGGTCACTCGCACATTGAAGAGAAGGCTGGGGATGCAGGCTCAGGAAAGAACGAGGCAGCTCTGGGGTCTAGAAAGCAGACCTCAGGGGTGGGGCTGTGGGCCTGAGTGGGCCCCGGCCATCTTTTCGGTCCATCCACTCAAGATGCAGTATACCGGGATGGGGGGACTCTGGCCCAGTGTGAGACACGTACTGAGCCCTTGACTGGGGAAGGGTTGTGCGTGTTCAGAAAGGCACAGCAAAACATACCCAAGGGGTGAGAGGTGATTACTCAAAATAAACCTGGGAGAAGCCTCCAAATGAGGAGAGGTGCAAGGGGACGAGCCAAAGGCGAGCAAGTGACTGATACATGTAGGACACCTGTCGTGGGTTGGACTGCATATGCCAGAAAGACATGCACACCCCCAAACCCCAGAACCTGTGGCTGTGACTTTATTTGGAAGAAGAGTGTTTGCAGATATAATTAAGGATTGCGAGGTGAGGTTGTCCTGGATTTCGGGTGAGCCTTAAATCCAGTGACAGGTGCCCTTAAGCAGGAGCAGTGACAGACAGAGACAGAGGGAAGTTGGGAGGACAGAGGCAGGGATCAGAGCGATGCTGCAGGAGCCAGAGAGCTGGGGCCACCGAGAGTCCGCAGCGGCCGAGAAAGTGGCGCCCCCAGCAGGCGCAGAGGGAGCGGGCCTCGCCGAGGCTCTGGCTCCAGACTCCTGGTTCTCAGGACTGGGAGAGAACAGGTGGGCTGCAAGCCACCCAGTCTGTGGTCATTTGTCACAATGGCCCCGAGAAACTAACACAACACCCATCCTTTTGGATGACCTTTTATATTATTTCTGCTGAGTACTCTGGGCCTGGGCCACCCTCGGAGGGAGCAGGGGCTCGGAACTGGGTTTACAGGTTCCTTGCGCAGCTTTGGGGTAACGTGACCACTGGGTCTGAGGACCCCCCCGCCAGCACCATAGCTTTAAGGCAATAGGGGCAGGAAATGGCTAAGAGCACAGGCTGTGGCGTCGGACTGCCTGGCTCCAAGCCCCGGTCCCCCTGTTTTTTACCTGCATGACTGTAAGTATATGACGGAGCTGTTCCGTTTCCCACCCTGCAAACCAGGGTTGTCATTGTTCGCTTTCAGGCCTTGCGAGTCTTGTGATCTCTTGCAATTACTCGGACCTGCTCCTAGCACAAAAGCAGCCCTAGATGACATGTAAACCAAGGGGCCTGGTGTGTTCCAATAAGACTTTATTGACACAAACCTGTGGGAGGGCCAAGGCAGGGGACTTGCAGTTTACGGAGCCGTAGTCTTGAGGAATGAAGAAGCAAGGCCCAGGCCCTTCGTCCACTTCAGAATCGGACGGCGCTGCCCAGACGCGGCCTGGGACCAGCAGCCCTTTCGTCCTTTGCAAAATGAGAACATGAGGGCGTTGTGGTGTGTTTTCCTTAAAATCAAATGTATCGATCCCTGTTGAATGTGACCTTGCCCTCCTTAGCTTTAATGGTGTACAAATGTTCTCTCGTATAAGATGATGGTGGGTGTCTAATGTCCCACCTGAGCTCTGCTTGCAAGGCTGCCCTTCCAGGTCTGCACCTCGGAGTGTCCAGGAGCCCGGCTCCCAGAGGCTGTGATGCACCTTGAGCTTTCCAGGTGCTGGAGAGTTCAAGGGCATCCTTCTAAAAGACACTCTTCGGGGAGGGAACTGTTCTGAGGCCCCAGGCAGGGCTGGTGCAGCCCTGGGTCTCCCTGCCCTGCCCACCCCAGTGACTCGGTGGGAAGCTGGGGTGGCTGGGGTCAGTCTCGGCTCAGCCACTTCCTGGAGAAGTCATTTGACATCTCAGTTCAATCATCTATAAAACGGGGGCGATCGCACTATAGACTCCTCATTAAATGGGCCTGAGGATTAAGTAGACCAGCAATTCTCAACCTTTTTCATCTCGTGGCACACGCAAATTAATTTTTAAAATTCTGTGACACATCAAAAATATCTACCTTGACAATCTGACAAAAGGAAAATAGGTATGATTTTCATTCATTCCGACCGGACAACTATTGTTGTGTTGGCTATTGTCACTTTTCTTATTTGACCCTCTCAGGGGAGAGAGGTCAGTGCCCCTGACTAAACAGTCGGGTGTTGCCTGTTTTAAAAATCTTTGCGGCACATTGGGTGAAAATCGCTGAAATACGCTGGTGCATGTGAAGCCCTGAGAACAGCGGCCGGCACATGCAAGATGCCATATAAGTATCTGCTTTTGTTCGCTAACCTGAACTCAGCCTCTGACCGGGGTCAGAGAAGGAGACAGAACATTCCCAATCGGGCAGGAGGGTCTCGGAGGGCGCCCCCCTCCCCCCCCGCCCCTCCCCCCTGGGCTGTCTGTGGACCTCTCACGAGATCATTATTTGGGTCTGTATCCTGATGCCCTCCTATTCGACGTAAGTCTCTCTGTTCTTTTTTCCCCTCCCTCTCTGCCTCCCTTCCTACCTTTCTTCCTCTTTTTTTTTGTATCTGGCATGAAGCCTCACCCATTCTGTTTAATGCATGAAGCAAAGAAAGCTGTTCAATAACTAAATGACTGGATAATAGTTAAGAGTAGCCGGGCCTGCAAAAGTCCAGAGCACTGAGGGACTCTGCCTCTTTCCCCAGCCCCCTCCTTGGCACTGGGGCACTGTCTGTAAACATTTTTGGTTGTCACAATGGGAGGGGACCTGCTCTCTCCTGGCCTCTCGTGGGTGGAGCACAGGGGTCATGATAAATGTGATTCAGTGCACAGGACGGCCCCCCATCAAAGGGTTATCCCACCACAACCGTCAGTTGTGCTGAGGCTGAGCTACCCTGGTCTGAAGTAAGATTTTGCAGGAGAGAAGAGAGAACCCCAAAGTCAGGTCACCCCAACTCCTGAGCTCTGCGGTGGGCCTTGAAGGTGCCTTTAGAACGCCCGGTGCCCTGCCCCCTCTGCAGGCCCAGCTGACTCCCTGTCCGACTCCCCGTATTCCCGGCCCGCCCTTCGTGAGCCCTGAAAACCCATCATGTCAGTGTATCTCATCACACCGGCACCACCGGGCAGGTTCCAGAGTCTCCCGCTCCGGAGGGGGGTGGCGTGTGGCAGTGTTCAAACCAGCCTGTCATTTCGAGCCACAGAGAAATGTGAGGTGACATTTCCTAAAGGTGGCACTTTGTAAAAATGCCAAACCTAATCCGAGGGCACAAAGAACATTGTGGAAATCAGAAGTGACTTGAGCGGCCGGGGCTGGCTCTGTAACCGGGGTTGTTTTGCTGTGCTTGTTCTCCGCGTTGAAGAAGGACTTTCAACAACGTTTCTCTAGGTAGTAATGACCTCTTACGGCTTTGGAGACAGCAAATACCACCTTGGCTTTAGAAATGCCTGTGTTCATACCACTCACTGGTGTCTGTATTATTTATTTTCATAGCATCTTTGGCTGCAGACGAGTGGGTGTTAAGGCAGGTCAATTGATTTTTTTCACTTTTTAGAAAAGATTTTATTTATTTATTTTTAGACAGAGGAAAAGGGAGGGAGAAAGAAAAGGAGAGAAACATCAGTCAGTGTGCGAGAGATATATTGATCAAGTTGCCTCTTACATGCCCCCAACTGGGGACTGGGCCCACAACCCAGGCATATGTGCCCTGACGGAGAATCAAACGAGCGACCTTTCTGTTCATAGGCTGGTACTCAATCTATCGAGCCACACCAGCCAGGGCAATTTTTATACTTTTCCACTGAAGAAAAAAGTGTCCAAAAGGAAATCCCAATATAATGATGTCTTAAAGCTCTCCTGTTCTGTTCAAATGCATTTATTTTTTTAAGGATTGATTTATTTGTTTGTTTGTTTATTTAAAAATGACTTACTCACGTGTGATCACAAGGCACAGGAACGTGCAGAGGCGAGGCCTGTGACTCTGAGGCCGGCCTCCTGGTCTGTGCACCTCTGAGTGCCCTCAGCCAACACCAAGTTCATCCTGTCCCCGAGCTCGCTCAGATCCTACCGGCTGCAGGGCATGGTGTCTGACCCTGCGGGAAGTTGAAGAGTTTTCCAGCTCATCTGTAACTACTGAACGAAAACTAGCTGTTCCAAGGGTTCGTTTCCCAAAACTCCCGTGAACAAGTGGGTCACCGGGAAATCACCCTGTACAGCTTTTAGAGCCACATCTGCTTTTTAAAAGGCGTTTCGTAAACAGCAGTAACTAAGGCCCCTTCTGGGTTCCCAGCCTTCTAAGGCCCAGGGCGCCCGTGGCCCCGGAACCACAGTCCCTGGGGGTCCCCCACATCCTAGGGCGGCCACGGAGGAGGGGCAGGCCAGACCAAGCATGAGGAATTAACAGTCAGTTTTGTTGGGCTCAGACTAGGAGTCCGTGGGTCTTGAGGACCTCTATGTATCTGTCAGTTTTCTTCCCCACATTCTTTTCGGCCCGTTTCCGTAGCCTCATGAGCTGCTTTTTCTTCCGGTGATGGATCTTGGCCTCCTTCCTCTCCTCCAGAGTGGCCGTCACTGCCTGGTACTTCCAGCTGACCTCATGGGCCGGGCACCCCAGGTAGGCAAACTTCCATGTGGGCTTCAGATGCACCACCTTGAGGGCCGCAGGGACCACCATTTGCTCTTTCTTGTCATGGGGCGGCAGGATCCTATCAAACACCTTGAGGTGGTCCAAGGCGGCCTGGCCTTGCTTGGTCTTGTGGGGCAGCATGCCCCGCACGGTCGGCCAAAAGATGCGGCTGGGGGCTCGAAAGTGGCAAGGGCCATGCAATGGGTTGTCGTTCATCCATTTACAGAGGAAGGCCAGGTACTTCAGCTTGTTTCTGTAGGAGCTGCCAGAAACGTTGATGCCCTCCAAGTGCACCACTACCACCTTCAGGCCCAGCAGCACCTGCTTGGCCACGATGGCCACCAGGCAGCCCAGGAGATGGCCTCGGCCATTGAGCACCAGGACCTGCCCCTCCACCACCTGCAGCAGCTGCCTGGGGAAGCTATTTATTTATTTTTGGAGAGGGGAAGGGAGAGAAAAGAGGGGGAGAGAAACTTCAATGTGTGGTTGCCTCTCACGTGTCCCCCACTGCCGACTTGGTCCACGACCCAGTGCCCTAGACGGGTAATCGAACCGACCACCCTTTGATTCACAGGCCAGCACTCAATCCACCGAGCCACACCAGCTAGGGCTGTTCAAATGCATTTACAACACTCAAAAGAAGTAAACTAGAGTTTGGCATCTTCAAGAAAAAGAAACAGCCGTGAAACATAATCAAGTGAAAGCTGGACAAACTTGCAGAGCTGTGGTCCAGCAAATCCCTTGGGTATAGAAAGTAGGCACTGATTCTGGGAGAGGAGGGACCAAGAGTCTGGTTGCTAGGCAATGGTTCCCATGGGAAGGAGAGCATCATGGGTTGGCTATTGACATACCAAAAAATGGGCCAGGGCAGAAGAAAGGACAAAGCCCAACCACTCCTCCTTCTTCTTCTCTTTCTGGAGAAGGAAATATATTCAAATAAAGACCCAAAGGGTGGTTTCGGGTTTGCCCATGCAGTCAGCAGGGCTGCTCTTTGCAGGACAGAAACAAGCGAATTAGCGCCGCGCACAGAAATCCTCTTGACTTTCGGATGATGCTGGCCATGGGTTGAGGGCCAGCTTTTTGAAACCAGGAAGCAATAAAAAGAGCAGCTAAGGTTTTCCTGAGAACTGAAAGGAAGCCGCAGGTAAGCAGAGACTGCAAGCAGTCGTGCTCAACGTCAGAACGGCGTCCTCAGGTCTTGGAGAAGCTGGGCTTCCGAAGACAAACGATACAAACTCTCCAAGCTGCAGTTTTCTCATCCAGAGCTGAGCTGACATAATGACAGTACTTACCTCGGAAGGCGGCTGTGCGAATTGAGAGTTAATGTATGTAGCACTTAGATTAGTGTTTGCCCTTAGTAAGTGCAATATGAGTGTGAGTCACTACCATTCTGCATTTCTCTCTTCTTCCAGATAAGAAGCAGAAGATGTGAGTTCTTTGTGCATTTTACTATCATGCGTTCTTTTTATATCTGAAGTCTGTAAAATCATGGCAGCAACTTGACTTTGTATACAGTTCATATCGTGTGTCAGTTGGGGTGTGTAGACTGTGCTTGGTAGCAAACTCGAACACAGCCCCCATCCTGTAGCATCTGCCCCGCCCACCCTCCCGGAGGCTGAGTGGTACCAGGTCTGGGTTAGAGAGGTCCTCAACCCTAAGCAGGTTTTGCTGCCTTTCCATCAGCACCCCGAGTACCACGTCTTAGAAGAGGCCAAGGAAACCCGACACATTCTGCTGTCTCCCCTGGTGGTGGTTCTGAGGCTTTTAAAAAAGCTTAAATTCCATTCCAATCACCTTCCCCCACCCCACCCCCTTTTTGGTTCTGGGGTCTGCTTCCGCTTTGCACTTTGCAAGCACTCCCTTGCCCGGTTGTAGGCAAACCCGGGTTGCAGCCTAAACCTGTCTCTCGTTCTGCCGCCTCCTTCCAGGCCTCGATGAGATCCAGTGCTCCCTGCCCTTGGAGAACAGGAGGGTGTCCCTCCAAGAGCTGTCGGAGGCCAGCTTCAGCGAGTGCAAGTTCAGCCTCTCACTCACAGACCTGTTCATCATCATCTTCTCCGGCGTGGCGGTGTCCATTGCCGCCATCATCTCCAGCTTCTTCCTGGCCACCGTGGTGCAGTGTTTCCAGAGGTGCACCCCCAACAAAGACGCCGAGGAGGAAGACGAGGACGAGGACGACTGAGCCACCCCTCCCACCCTTCACTTTCAGGAACCCACGGTGGTGGCTCCCCTTTGAGGAGAGAGGGAAATGGCAAAAAGGAAAACGACCACCACCAGTGCACGGAGCACAGAGCGGCACTTGTTCAGTGCCTCACACCGGGCGGGACCTCTGAGCTCCGAGTCTAGAGCCCGTGGAGCCAGGCGCTCAGGACAGATTCCTGGAGGAGAGGCTGCCTCTCGGCTTGAGGTGTGCGTGTGGGACATGACCCAGTCCGGCTTCCTCGCTGCTGGCTGACAACGAACCTAGGGGATGTGAGACCAGCAGCTCTTGACCACAAAGATGATTTCAAGTCGTCCGTTTCCCTGACCTGGCCCGGGAGACCATGCCGCACCTCCTTCCTCCCGAGAGGCAGCAGCTCGGAGAGTGGGGATTGGGTTTCAGGTCCCTCTCCCACGATTGGCTAAGAGGCACCGAGGAGAGAGCTGAGAACTAGCCACAGGGTGTTTGTTGTTACGTTTTGGTGAGCGGGTCAGGAAAACTTCGGTCTGCAGAACTCAAACCCTGATCCTTACCCGTAGAGGCAGCAATCCAAAGAGGAAGGACGGCTGTTTCGTTCGGTCGTCAGGGCCTCTGCTCAGAGTTGCTCTTCCCTCTGAAAGTGTTTCCCTTCCTTGTCCCCATACTCGGCCCCCCAAGTCCCTTCTCAGCCAAATAAGACTTGGCCATTCTCTGTGCTGGCCCCGTCCTAGGGCTTCCACTAAAACCTTCCTGGTGGCTGCACTTCCAGAAGGCAGGAGCAACAAAATGGCAAAATACAACAAAACAAACGAACTGGGGCTTGGCCTCTGAAAACTCTCCATCCCTGGCCCTTGGGTGTGTGTGACAATTTTTTGGAGCTCAGGCTGTGACAGGCACTGTTTTCCAGGGTCGGAAGGCAGCATGCTGTTCACGGACGATGATGAAAGAATGTCCTTCCAGGTCGCAGTGGGTTAATGTGATCCAGCAAAGGGCAAACCCTCGGGCAGCAGCTCCGGCTCTTGCTGGGTCCGGCGCTCAGGGGAGGGGCTCAGGGGGAACTCCAGGGATACTGTCGAGCGTTGCTTCTCCATTGTTCCTCGTAATACACTCCTCCTGCATCTGTGTCTGCCTCCATCTCGCCTTTCCACCTTTGCTCCCACAAAGAATTACTGAGGGTTTGCTAGGCACCAGGCATCGAATTAGAAACACAGGCCCCTGCTCGTGTGGGCCTCCTATTACAAGTGGTGATGAGCCCCTTGAAGGGCATAAAGGAGGTCTTGTGACAGAGTGACTGGTAGAAGGCATTCAAGAGTGGGTGGCTGGGCCCTGGCCAGAGTAGCTCAGTTGGTTAGAGAGTCATCCTGACACACTAAGGTTGCAAGTTTGATCCCCGGTCAGGGCACATGCAAGAATCAACCAATGAATGCATCAATAAGCGGAACAAAAATGCTCTCTCTTTCTCTGTCTCCCTCCCCCCTTGCTCTCTATAAATAAATAAGTAAACAAATAAAGTGGGGAGTTGGATATATTAGGGCTCACCAGAGAAACAAAACCAAAGGAGGAGATGTGTAATCTATCCATCCATCCATCCATCCATCCATCCATCCATCCATCCATCCATCTATCCATCCATCTCGAGCAGCTGTAAGGAGTTTGCTTACATGCTTTCAGAAACTGAGAAGTGCCGTGATCTGAAGTTGGCCACCCTGAGGGCTGAGAAAAGCCGGTGGTCTGGCTCCAGTTGGGTCCAGAGGCTTGACCACTGTGTGCAGTTCAGAGTTGGAGGGCGGAAGAAGACCCCGGTGAGGCAGTCAGGCAGAGCGTGGAGGACTGTCTGCCTCACACAGTCCACAGATTCTAACCTTGACCTCCTCCAGAAGGACCCTCACAGACACACCGGAACAATGCATACCTGGCCACCATTCGGCCCAGTCAAGCTGAGGCAAGAAATGAGCCATCCCACTGGGGAAGAGCTTTGATTGGGTGCCTTGGAGCTGAACCCTGCCTCCTTCCTCTCTCACCCCCTTGCCTGCCTCCCTCCCTTCTTCCACTCTCTCTGGTCTTCTTCCCCACCCCTGACACTGGAGGAGATTCTTGGAAACGCCCTCAAGCCTCCAGCATGCTTGGCTCCAGGGGAGGAGACCCCAGGCTCCAAGCGGCTTTCTCCTCCCACCGGACAGATGGAGAAGCAGGCAGCCTCTTCCCGGACTCCATGGCAACTTCAGCGCCTGAATGACCACTTCCGTAGAAGGCTCCGCCTTGAGTGCAGGTCATGCTTCCATTGAGGAAACCATGTAGGCAAACTGCAGTTGGTCATCCTGAGCCCCCAGGTGGTACTCGAGTTTCAGTCTAAAGGTTTCAGCCATTATTTACACCTTGTTATGAGAGAAGGTTCCCGGAGAAGGTTTTCAGACCTGGAGAGAAGGGAACCCCACTGACATGGCGCCCCCTGGAGGGAAGATGAAAGATGACAGGGAGGACCAAGCGTTCCCAGGCTAAGCATCTGAGACACAAAACAGTCTAGTGCCAGCCCAGCCACAGACGAGCAGCAGCCGAGACTTGTGTGGGGCTGGAATGCTGCCTGTCATCGCAGTCTCCATCCCCTACCCCCAGGAGCAGCCTCTCAGGACCCAGTAGGGCCCCCAGCAAAGCCACACTGTGTTTCTTCCAGGATCCTAACAGGAGGGTGTCTGGAACTGTGGAAATAGCAGGAGACCCTGTTACAACAGGTTCTGGTGAATGCATTCCCTCATAATGAGACCATTTTCTTCCTTATCTGCATCAAGGGGCTCCTTCTGGTCCGTGAGTGTGGACTCTGCAGGGCATAGGGGCCAGCAGTCACTTCCTGAATGAGTGAGTGACAAGGGGAGGGGCAACCTGGGGCTTCCTGAGCACCGACCGACCGTCACTGCGGCCAGCTGCACCCTAGGAATGAACACGATGCTGAGGAAGAGGACGAGCTTTACAACACAGCCCGCGGAAACAGTTACTGCCCGATGTAGACCTCCCGTGAAATACTAGGGGTGCTGGGGACAGGCGGGACATCTGCGGGGTTCGCTGACCGGGAGCCACAGCTCAGTGGGGACGGGCCCCTGGAGACGTGACAGGGCACAGACAACAAGCGATGGTTCGGGGCTCCCTGACTTGCAGTGGGGTCTCCAGTCATTATTATTATTATTATTATTATTGACCATGGAAATGACCATGCTCTACAGCAGTATAGGGCCTCCCATGTAGCAGACATGGCCCTCGGATCTGCACACGTGTCATTTGGGTCTCAGATGTCACCCCCTCCGAATCACTCTTGTCGCAGCAATCCATGTTATTTCCCACACGACATGTACCGTGATGTGAAATTATCCCATTTCTTCGTTTATCGTCTGTATATCTGGACCTGAACATGAGCTGCCCCAGGGCAGGAACTGCGTGGTTTGTGTCTCGGTGTTTCAAGCAGTGCCTGGCACACAGTCGTGGTTCGACAAGATAACGGGGGCTGAAAGAGCAGACAAATGAGTTCCAGGCACCATACTAGAAACACTACAGACATGAACTCCATCTGGGCATCCTCACAACTCCTGGCGAGTGCTGCCATCGTCCCGATCTTACAGACGAGGACCCCAAGGCTCAGAGAAGGTGGAGGGACGCCTTGGCCGCTGGTGTTTGACCGCTGCACAGCGGCTCCATCCAGCTGCATTCCCTTCTATGGCCAGCAGGGGCAGTGTGGAGCGGCACCTTTCTTGGGGCTGTGCTCTGGGCTCTAGGAAAAGCAGCCTGCGCTGGGTAGGCACACTCAGAAAGAGTTATTTTGAGCGTCAAATCCATCATCTTGGACCCCATCGAGAGAATCAAAACCACCAAAATATCTTGTCTCACGGTCTCACTCTCCTTAAGATCTAAGGACCAAAGACTGCAACAGCATCACAAACGAATTTGTCTCACTGTGGCGCCAGTTGGGTGGCGCCAGTGCAACCCTTGAACCTGGGCAAGGGGTCCCCGCCCTGGCTCTCCTCCAACTCTGCTCTTCCCCCCTGGGGTGAAGAATCTGTGAGGCCAAGGGCACCCCGAATCATTGCTCTCTTCCAGACCATTCGTGGGGCACTCAGGATTTCAGAATTTCCAGCTCAATTGTCTCCAAACTTGGGAGTGAGCCTGTCTTCCCATCATCGCTCCACCAGAGGGGACTGAGTGGCCAGGCAGTAGATATTGCTGGGGGACGTGAGCAGGGTTTGGATGTGAGACGTGGGGTGTCCACACAGGGGGAACCAGGGCTGGGGAAGAAAAGGGGCAGGTGTCAGACGGCTCGGCCCACTGGCCAGATTCCGGGAGATTCAAGAATGTCATTTAGCCCTGGTCTTGCCATTCATCAACAAGGTATTTTTGTCAAGGTAGCTGAATACAACATTTTTTTTAACACTTTATCTTCATTTGTGACTTGTGAATGTTTAGCTATGGGTGTATGGAGGGTATTTGTACTCTGTCCTGGCTCTCCAGAAGGGCCTGTGTACCCAGCAGGGACCAAAGGGCAGCCACACACCCTGGCGGTGGTCCTGGGACTAGGCACCACTTCCGCCCTGTGGGGCTGGTCAGAACGGGCCCTTATACAGAGAGGCTGGAAAACATGCTCACACAGGTCGCTTCCACCAGCGATGGAGAAGGGTTTTGGGTGGAGCATCCCTGCTTCCCTGTTCTCCTCCTCCTCCCCTTCTTCTTCCTTCTCTTCATCCTCCTCCTCACCCACCCAGGGTCCTTACAGTTTTACATGACCAACGTTACAGGAATGAGTTCTAGGTGCAGCCAGTGGCTGGGGCCGGGGGTGTTTCCAACTCTATTAAATTTAACTGGGCCCTGGAACATATCAAGGCTCTAGGTCTCTAACATCTCCCCTCCCCACCAACAGAGCCAGCCGTCAGCCCTGGACTTTGGCCATGAACTCATTTTTAGTGGCTTCTAGTGCCCTCCAGAGTGAAACTAATTTATTATTTGCAAAGTGGTCTGCTGGTACCCAGTACAGTAACCCCCCCCCAAGCAGACCCCTGTGGGTTTCATTGGTCTGCAGCCAACAAGGTAGCTTTATTTTTTAAGACTCCAGGCCAATAAACACACAGCCAAACTTTACATTGTTTTTCCACATAAAATTTTTTGTGAGTGTGAACACTGTTGTCTGCTATTTACAAATGTAATCCATTTTTTGAAAACATGCCTTTTTGAGGTGTGAGGTTATTATATTTTGGCCTTGGGAAAATACATGTTTTTATGGTACAACCTCACACTCATATTCAGGTCCCTTAGCCGTGAACTCATTTGCTCACTGATGTCCCATTGGAACCCGAGCTGGGAGCTGGTTTTCCAAGAACCGTTCTTTCAGGGTTTACCACTCAGTACAGACCCTCCATCCCCATTCAAGCCTCTGACCGTGAGGAAAGCAACCCCACAGTAACCAACATCAAAAGGAGCCTGGGGGTGCGGAGGGGTGGTCAGCCCTGCAATGAGGTGTCCACTCTGTCCTCCTAGCTGAGTGCCCTTGGCCATGCCCTGGACCCTCCTGGAGCTTCGAGCCCTCCTTTGTGAGCAGAATAGCTCTGACTTCTTGGCAATGAAATGAGGGAAGGGACCACCCCCCCCCACGTGGTCCTGTCCCTCTTCCTTTGGAAGCCCAGTGGTGGTGCATTCGTTCCTACGTGCGCAGAAGAGCTTGGTCTCTAAGAAGAGTAGAATCCGAGCTGGAATGCCCAGAAAAACGAGTCAGGAGCCAGCAGTCTGAAGACTTCCGGCGTGTCACCAGGAGCTCAGTTCTCATCTTTACCACCTGGTGATCAGCCCCCAGACCTGCCGCTGCCGGCCTCTTGGACCCACTGTGGAGCCCGCAAGTCTGCACAAACGTCAAGGCCGCTCTTACACGTGGAACCCACATGTCCTGGGGGAGGCCACTGGCCAGGAAGACAGTGGAGCCACATGAACAAGTACTCAAGTGACGTGGTCCTGCTGGACCCCACCTGCCTGGCTGTGAATCCCAAGCCCACACCCCCCAATCCACAGACACTAAGTACAGGGGACCCCTGAACAACACAGGGTTAGGGATGCTGATTCCCACACAGTCAAAAATCTGTTTATAACTAAGTATTGTGTTTTGGTCCAGTTTTGAGGTTGGTTGCATCCACGGATCCAGAACGTGGGGACAGGGAGGGCCGACGTTTTTCATTTATTGAGAAAAAAGTCCGCATATACGTGAGCCCGTACAGTTCAAAGCAGCGTTGATCAGAGTCCCACGTGCTTCTGGGGGTGGAGTCTCTCTCAGGCTTAAAACCCAGTTCGAACTGGCGTCCACCGAGCGGCCATCGTGTCTGCTGAGGGTCCACCCCTGCCCGGGACAGCGTGGCCTCCACTCACCCTGCTGGGGCTCTTGGGCTCCCTACACCCCCAACCATCCCGCCGGGTTTTGAATTCCAAACCGCCAGTCCTGGAGGGGTCCTCACAGGTGACCTTCCTGTCAGCCCTCACTCGCCCCACAGGGACACTGTGTTTCCAATGGAAACAGGGACAGCACCCGCCCTGTGGAGTCAGACTAGTCCCCAGGCGGGGCTCAGTGCCACACCTCCTGAGATTCCCCAGTTCCCCGAAAGCCAAAACCTCCCTTTTGTCAGATTTCCTGCTGTCCAGGTTTATCAATGCCAGCAAATAGCTTCCCTGGGGCAGGGCTGTCCCTTCCTGCAGCCATGGCAACCGCCATGATCCGGCTCAAGTGGGACAGGAAGAGAAGGGGGCTTCTTAGCAGCTCTGATCCTTCCCACTTGAATGGCCAGGCAGTGGTGGGAGGGGCGGGGGTTGGGTGGGGAGCTGTGAGCTCCCCACACCCTCCGGAGCTACCTGGGAAGGTGACAAAGGCAGGGGTGGGACATCCCCACTGTGGGGCTCTGAGCTGGTACCACGGACACCTCCTCCATCCCCGGTATCCCCAAGGAATCCTCTGTCCCCAGAAACACCCTCTAGACCGTAAGCTCCATGAACTCAGGGCCTGCGGGCCACCATCACTAAATGACAACCCTTGACCAAGCCTGGCAGACAGGAGCCCTTAACTCTCACACACTCACTTGTCACCACCCTCAGTTGTCACAGGAACAGAGGAACACACACCTTGCCCATTGGAGAGAGGGCCGCACCACGGGGTCTCCCTCCCTTGGGGAAGGAAGTCCAAGGAGGCGAGGCAGGGTCCCAGCCGAGGTCCACGCCAGTGAATTGCAGATGACCCACCACCACCGAAATGGCTCTAACAGAATATTCTCGAGTAGTATAACCTGAGTACTACAATACCGGAGTAACAAAATGCTCTAACAGAGTTCCTCAGCGCTCCCTTTCGGAGTGTTAGGAGCATAGCGGAGCTGGGTGTGCCGCTCACCCGGGGCTGCGTCTTAGGCTATGGGATGCTGACGTGAGTGGTCCTGCTCCGGTCCCTGTCCCCACTGCTCACGCCTTCAGCCCCTCGGCACCCCTACAGTTCCCCAGAGAGGGCCCTTGTCCTGGCCGTTCCCTCCGCCTGGAATGCTTTTCCCCTCCCTCTTTGCTTCTTCTTGTCATTCAGGTCTCAGCTCAAAGGTCACCTTCTCAAAGAGGTCCGCCCTGCCCGTCCCCGCTAAAGAGACCCTCATCCGTCACCCTCTAATGCACCGTCACCCCATCGCATTCCTTCATGGCTGTGTGGGCTTCCTGGGTCCTGTTGGCCTGCCCGGGTCCTGTTTGCTCTGCAGATGGCAACCACCAGAGTGAGGTCCATGCTTGGCTTGTTTCTCCTGCATCCCCACAGCCCGGATCTGCCGTGGGCTTGGCAGGAGCCCGATAAATATTGTGCGGTGGATGAATGAGGTGGGTGGATGGATGGGTATGTGAGTGAATGGATGGTGGGTGGGTAGTGATTAGTGAGTGGGTGAGTGGGTGGATAGATAGATGGATGAATGGCTGGGTGAAAATTTTTCTACCCTTTCCCAGGACTTGAAAGCCACACATAAAATGAGAAGAATGCAACCAAGGAGGGATTTATAAGATGCAATGACTGCATTAAAGGAAAATGCCTCTTCATCTTGCAGGGGGCACAGTTCTGAGATCAGGGCTGCTGTGGTGTCAGGAACCACCTCTGGCATTTCTTTCCTTAGCAGCCCCCCATCTTTGCTGCAGCTCAGAAGCTCCCCCTCAGCCGTAGCGCAGGCTGCTGAGCGCGGACACAAACCCCCAGCCAGACTTTGCACCTCACCTTTGGTCTGCGAACCCGGAGAACAAGCCCCATGGAACAGCTACGCCCTGTTAGGCGGTGGAAGCCACCCTCCCTCCTCTCTGAGTCCTCCCCCTCCCCCCAGCCCTGCAACCTCCTCTCCTCCGCACGGCCAGCCTTGGCATCTGTGACTGGGTACTGAGTGATTTCCATTTGTGACCATCTGACCCCTAATTACTTCCATTAATTACTTGGGCAGGCTTCCCCTGCCAAAAGGGCTTAAATCCCAGGGATGGTAGGAAGAAATGGCCTTCGCTTGTCCTTGCCCACCACCTGCCTCTCGCGGGAGGAGACAGAGTCCCGTGGGGGTTATTCAAGTTCCTGAGGATTGGCTCCCCGTGGAGGCCAGTCTGTCACGTGATGAGTTCCCTCGAAGAGCTCGCTCTGTCGCTCAGCCCCAATCTTCCAAAGAGCCTGGCTGCTGGTGGGAGAACCAAGTGTGATAGCAGGAGGGGTGGGGGGATGATAGGTGACCTCCGGTCTTCACTCCGACTCCCAGCACGGAGCAGCCCAGCCCGTCCAGGCGGAACATAACCACCCGCAGCGCCCACACCCCTCGAGCCACCACCGCACATCCCCGAGACATCCTCAATCTGTCCCCCAGGTCCCAGGGAGAGTGTGACAGGCCCCCAGGGTCATCTGGGTTTGCCTTCCTCCCTCATGTCCCCAAGTTGTCCTGCCTAAATGCCTCTTTGCTAGATGCTCCTTACCTGGCGCGGACTGCTCACTCATTCATTCATTCGGTGGCTGTTAACTCTTTACCCCCTGGCCTGGCACTGGTCACGCAGTGGCAGGGACACACACAGCCTCTGACCACATGCAGTTTTCTACCAGAAAAGACAAGTAAAATAAGGGATTCTGCAAACGAGTCAACGCCAGGAAGTGCCAGGCACCTGCAAAGCCCAGCTCAGGGTGAGGGGCCAGGAACAATGCCTCCGGTGAAAACTAGCCACTTCGTCCAAGCCCCTGCACCGGGAGGCCACTGAACCCTAGCAGGGGTCCAGCAGCATAAGGCTGCGGTCTGAGGAAGACCCCGGCCCTCAGGCTGCCAGGAAAGTTCCTGTGCATCCTGTCCAAGCTCTCCTCATAGCACCACACCCCCACCAACTGCGTCCCCTCTCATCTGCCATCTTCAGACCCAGGCAGTCCCCTCCAGGT